ATACAGTCAGTTCAAGTCCACCATCTTTGAAACAGTTTGTTCTTTGGATTGAAATTTGCAACTGCAGCTCATAACTGGGCATTGTAATGGAACTTTCTCTCAGGAAAAAAAACACATTTTATTTTGAAACGGATTGCTCTAATTAATTATGCCTACTTTGGTGCTATCCTGTCTGATTTTTTAAACAGAGATTTTAAAAGACATAATAGTGTATTTTCAGCTCTTGATGAAGCATTTCTTAGTCATCCTGCCAGCACCTCCCAGACAATAGGGGATTATTGTCCCCATTTTGCAGATGAGGAAACTGAGACGAACAATAGTGACTCAACAGATTCACCAGGTGAACCAATGGCTGTTGTGGGACGTGATCCCAGGTCCCACAGTGAACATGCTGTGTACCAGCTGACAGTGTTTGCCAGGCGTAGCTCTCAAGTCAAATTTCTTTGACATCAGAAGTCACCCCATCACTTCAGAGCAGGGATGCAGCCGCAGTGTGTCAGATGTAAGAGACACTTATGCCTTGTAATAACAATGTGTTGGCTATTGCTCACAGTTCAGTTCCCCCATCCACACAACATGGTGCTTAAGCCCTTTGTCAGAGGGAGCAGGCAGCCTGCCACAGAAACTCCATCTACAATAGTTACCTTTGTCCTCAGTTTAACAATACTCAGATTCCTTTGTTTTGACAACTGATCTAACAAACGATTTAGACCAAAGGCTGATACAGAAGCTTTTGCAGAACACTTGGTGCAGAAAACAATTCCCTTTTATGGCATAATCTCGCTTTTGGAAATGTCCTGCTCTTGGGTTTTTGCACCCCTATTCTTCAAGCCAGATACATTTATATCCATCAGGTTCTTTGTGTGACCATTGCACTTCAAGGCACGCATGAGGGGATCGTTTCACTTCAAAGCATGAGTGAATATTTCTCTTTCTGAATCATGAAACCTGGCTTCCAAAGGAATCTTTGTAATGTTTTAAAAACTTGGTATTCTTTTGGACTGCAAAGGAACAGAACTATCACTAAATTATCTAAGAGACTATCATAGACTGCACATTTTCTTATCTTCAAGCTACACGTACAGTACAATGTAGGAAGTACATTGTGGGTTGTTGTTATTTTTAAATAAAAGATCATTCCTTAATTCTCTTAATTCGCCCAGTGCTTTAGATATACATAAGTGCTTATTTCCATGTACTGTCCTGAAACACAGAGTACAGTTAAGTATTTCCAAATCTGGACTTTGATAACTGTGGCTTTTTTCTCTGTAGCTAAGGTCACAGCCACACCACACATTTAAGACATCCCTCCAAGAATCCTGAGAGCTGTAGTTTAGCCCTCAGAGAACTATACTTCCCAGAACCGTGAACAAACTTCCCTGATTCTTTGCTGGGGAAGCCATGTGCTTTAAATGTATGGCATGGATGTGATCTAAGTTTCTACATGTACCCAATATTGTCCTGATCAGCATTCAAGGGACTGAGCGTCAAAGTCCTACTCTTCCCATTCCAAATGGCAGCTGCCAAGCTCTATTGCCACAGAAGCCTTTCTCTCCATCTCTCTTCTGCCTCTTCTGCCTCTAACACTAACAAATGTTGTGCCAAATGTTTTATTTATTTATTTTTGTAAACTGCTTAGAGGGTCTATTTACAAGCAAGGGGCATATCCACTTTATATAAATAAAATCATTGTAGACACGTCCACGAATCAACGCCAAGTTACCATGGATGTTCAGAAGACTAGTAGAGTAGAGAAAACAGTGTTATATTGTGATTGGCCAGCATTGCCACTTATTTGGCCAATATGTACCTTTTCTGTGGTTAGTTGGGCATCTATTCTAGACCAGTGCCAGTCTGCCATCTGTTTCCTTTTGGTCTAGGGAGGCAATTTCTGCTGTTGGATGGGAAACTCTCTCTTTTTTGTGCAAGAGTCAACAGAATATTGCCTGGTGGGTAGCAAGATGATATTTTCTCTGTTTCTTCTGGGTGAGAGAAACTCTGAGAATGGCATCTTCCCCACAGCAGGAAGAGCAGGATTCCCACCCTTGCAGCTATTTGCCTATTGGTGTTGCAGAAAGTGAGAAGGAAATTATTTGGTCTCCTCTAGACTGTCAGTGGGGACGCGGGTGGCGCTGTGGGTAAAAGCCTCAGCGCCTAGGGCTTGCCGATCGAAAGGTCGGCGGTTCGAATCCCCGTGGCGGGGTGCGCTCCCGTTGCTCGGTCCCAGCGCCTGCCAACCTAGCAGTTCGAAAACACCCCCGGGTGCAAGTAGATAAATAGGGACCGCTTACTGGCGGGAAGGTAAACGGCGTTTCCGTGTGCTGCGCTGGCTCGCCAGATGCAGCTTTGTCACGCTGGCCACGTGACCCGGAAGTGTCTCCGGACAGCGCTGGCCCCTGGCCTCTTAAGTGAGATGGGGGCACAACCCTAGAGTCTGTCAAGACTGGCCCGTACGGGCATGGGTACCTTTACCTTTACCTTTTTAGACTGTCAGTATTTTGCAAGAAGGATTCAATTACTTGCCGGAAATTAAATCACTCTGTAGAAACAAATCCACTTAAAAACAAAGCAAGGTTGTCAGTTGTTTTTCATTTTTTATTTTTTGCAACTAGGAAAGTGATGGGGAAATGCACTAAAAAGTGGAGAATAGATGATTGATTGATGGGGAGAAGTGTAACTCTGTGCAAGCAAATTGGGATGAATGCTCGTTGTCATATTACCTCCCTACAAGCAAAACTGGATGCACCCTATACCTTAAAAGCACATTCACAACTCTTTCTTTTTCTCAAGGAATTGTGGGCACTGTAGTTTGCTCCTCACAGAGTTACAATTCCTAGCAACCCTCAGCAAACTATAGTGCCCAGAATTCTTTGAGGGAAACAATCTGCTTCGAATGTGCTTTAAATGTACAGGGTGTACACAGCCATATTCGAACCCCTGTGTAAGCATTGTGCAAGGAAATCAGGATGAATGCTCAGCAAACAGGAGGCTTTCAATCTTTAACTGGGCTCAGCTGGAGGCATGCATCCATGTGCTATTGAGTGCTTGTGGAGAATGAGCATTGAGGCCTTTCCCCTCCTGCAATGGCACAGTTGTGTCTCACAGTTGTGAGCTGAAGAACAGGGAAGTATGGAATCTTCCAGTGGCCCTCTTTGGGCTTCTGGTTGTGTGAGAACCTTCTGGGATGAATTGTTTCCATAGGATGGGAGAAGAAGAATCACAGCATCATAGAGTTGGAAGGGCTTCCATTTAGTCCAACCCCCTGCAATGCAGGAATCACAGCTATAGAATCCCTGACCATCCAACCTCTGTTTTGAAAACCTCCAGTGAAGGAGAGTCCACCACCTTCTGTTCCACTGTCAAACAGCTCTGTCAGAAAGTTCTTCCTAATGTTTAAGCCGAATCTCCTTTCTTGCAATTTGATTAAAATTATTATTCATCAGTCACTTTTTTCCAAAAATGAAACTCAAAGCAACTTACAAAAATGAGCATCAGAAACAAATATAAAAAGAGGCTAGAACATCCTAAAATGCACAAATAATAGAAAAACAGATCTACACCACTAAAATTAAGATCCAAAGACGTGGGTGAATAAGAATGTTCTTGCCTAAAAATGCGACTGATGGTGCCAGGCGAGTCTCCCTGGAGAGAGCTTATCACAAAGTTGAGGAAGTTGTCTTACACTAATTCAGACTTCTGGTCCATCTGTGCTGGGGGTGGCTAATCTGTGGCTCTCCAGATGTGGGACTTCAGCTCCTACCAGCCTCAGTCAGGAGGGCTAGCCAGGAATGATTGTTGTTGTTGAGCAACATCCAGACAAGTTTCCCATCCCTGATCTACAGAGACTGCTAGTGGCTTTCCAGAGTTTCTGGCAGGAAGCTTTCCCAGCACCACCTGGAGATACTGGGGATTGAGCCTGGGAATCTTTTGCAGGGAAAGCATGCCTGTACCACTAAGCTCTGGCCCTGCCCACTCTACCATTGTCACATATTTTGGAAGCAAATTCCGTACCTGAGCTGTGCTCTGTGTGACAAAGCATTTCTCTATTTAGCATAATGGCTGTGAGATCTAGTATCATGGGAGGGGGAGAAACTGCAAACTTGAGGATCACTTGATTGACAAGGGGACTATAAATCTGAAAACTAGCAAGCCAACCAAATAAATATAATATGAAGTAGGGTTGGAGCAGGGCATAGTCTTCTGATTCTTTCCTGTGCTTCTTGCTAATGAATTAGTAGCTGCACTGAGACAGTCCTCGAAGCCCCATGGCTACCTCTACCAACATGACTCTAACTCAGGGCATACAGAATATTGTCAGTGGTCCATTGAGAGATCACAAACGTGCGATTTGCAAATTTTTTTAATAAGAAGCAATAAAAATAATAAAAAGAAAATAAAATAAATCCAATGCTAAAGTCACTTGCAGATGACTTGCTTATTGGACATTAATCTTGATTTGTTTGAACAAAGTTTATGGCAGGTGAGAGAGAGAGAGAACGAACTTCTGGCTTGTGGGTCTCACTAGGCCTCGCCATTTTGGCCCACAAGTTGCTTTCAGTCAAATCATGTTCACCTGCCCACATGTGATGTCATCTATGATGTCAGCTGTAGGGCAGTTAAAGGTGCCTGCTATGTCCCTTCCCCGGTGCTTCCTAAACCTATCAGTTGACCTATTGGTCTTTGGACACTTTACATAACATTCTGACTGGCTGCACAAAGATGTGGGGAGTTCATTCAACGCTATTTATCAAACAATCAGTCGGATTTGTTTTCTTGGGTCAGAGCCATTGATCTCCCACACTACCCAGTGCTTTTCCGCATCACTTTCCTTACTGCGTAAAGATCTCCCCCCCCCCCAACCACACACTCCCGACGTAGCTTTGTGGCACAAAAGTGCCAAGTCCGTTTTGAGTGCGCCACCTGCGCTGACCTCTGCATCCCAGCAGCAGAATAGCAGCAGATCGGGAGGGCGTCCCTCAGATTAAGCACGCGCCGCCGCGAGAAGACAGGGCTTCCTTCCCGCGGGAGCGCCCGGGCGCTTCTTCCCCTGCGCGCCCCGTCGGGGCTGTGGCCCCTTTAAGAGCGCGTAGCGCAGGAGCGCCTAGCTGAGCTTGCGGCGCTCGTAAAGCGGCCGCTGGCTGGACGAGGAAGCGGCGCCTGCTCTTTAGGCGAAGGCGAAGACGACGCTGCAGCGACAGCAGCAGCAGCAGCAGCAGCAGCCCGCAGGCTCCGCCGCCCCTTTCCCTTGCCTGGTGCACTTGGGCGTCCAGGGGGCTTGGCTGGCGGACACGGGATGGCCGCACCGGAGCCCTGAGCTCAGCCGTTTGTGGTGAAAGCCAAGTCCGGAGCGCTGCTTGAGCTTCTGGGTAAGTCCAACCCAAGTGATCGTAGCTTTTTAGTGCGCTCTTTATTTTTTAAAAAAACATTCTCCGCAGGCTACATTTATGGTCTCTCCTGAGCAGAGCAGCTGCAAAAACACAGGGGAGAGAGCCGAGATGGGAAAGGAGAGCCTCTCGAGCGTTTGCAGCCCTTTTCTAAAATCAAAATCCCCTTTCCCACGTTAGCTCTTGGGGCGAAGAAGGCAAGCCTGCCAGCCTGCTGGCAAAAAGCGGTGCGTTAGAGGACAGGCAGAAGTCGGCGAGAAGAAGCCTTTTTGTTTCTATTTTTGCACGGAATAGGGAGATTATTAACAGTGCAATGCTGTGCATGTCTATTCTGAACTCACTGGGTACATGCAACCTAAATATGACTTTCTTCCACGGGGTTTTCTTAAGGAGACTTGTCATTTATATTTTGCATGTCGAGCATTTTTTTCTTTCTGGAGGCGGCCGGAAATTGTATCGGGAAGAGGTCAATTTCTAAAATGAAAGCGAAGGGGGGGTTGTTTTGAAGTGCCTGCAGATTTCTGAGTCGCAATCGTCGCCTGTAATTGAAATGGGCAGAAGCGAAGGCGCTGGGCAGCGTCCCTGGGTACAGTTCCCGCGTGGGTCGGGTAGAGGGCGCTGCTGCGACGCCTGGCGATAATCCGCCGTAAAACAGCCAGGGAAGTTGGTAAAACTCAGTTAAGTGAATAATTCAGTGGTGATAAGCTGGTAGAAAGGGAGTGGTGATTCATCAGGGCAGCGAGCACCGCAGTGCAGCATCGGGGAAGCAAACCCATTCATGATTTTGAGTAGACGAGTAGAGTTAGTCACGTGACGTGTTTTAAGAATGAAGCTTTGGCCAATCGGAATTAAGAACATAGTATTAGGAATTCTTGACACACCTTCCTGAAGGTTCATCCCTCTGGTGCCCATAGGTACTACGGAGGGATATGCAGAGCAGCTTAAAACTTTGTGTACTGTTTTGTTGTTGGCAGTGCAGTGATGCATCTGGCTGGATCCTGGTTAAGGAACAGACTTGTGGATCTTCCTAAATACACATACATTGAAAGTAGCTGCGCTAATTTATTAACACAAAGTTAATAGTCATATTTTTATTAGGACCAGCTAAATGTCTTAAAGTTATGAGTAATCTGCCAGGTCCCCCAAACTCTTCTGTCTGAATGTTATGCAAAGAAAACAAAATGGGGAGGAGGGGAGAGAAACTCCCCCCCCCAAAAAATGGTGCTTTTTGACCTGTTTTTGGGGTGGGTGTGTTAGCATCCAACCTTAAGAAGAGCTCAGAGGCAATTAAAAACACTTGCTTGTTACTTTGTGACATTTTACTTCTAGTAAAGGGATTGTCCTCCTGTTACTTTTGGACATTGGGATGGTTCGATAAATGTTTCCTCAAAGGGTGTTGAGCTATGTATTCTGAACAGGAAGAGAAGCATGACAGGATGTGGTGCTGTCAGACATATGGTCCATTTAGCCTGGCTTTGTCAAACTTGACAGCAGTGGCTCTTGAGCTGATTTCTAATGCAGATGTGTAAGATTTCTTAACACATGGACCCGTGTTCCTGCCCCGTAACTGTGTACCAACTATGGTCAAGTGCAGATGACAGTGAACTTGAAGGGAAAGAAACCTCACATTCATGTTCTTCGCTTTTTTGCTCATGTTGTAATGTTCACAGCCCTTGCTTTTCCTCGCTTTTGCATTACGTATAGTCATGCTCATTATTTTGACCCTAGCTCCTAAAGATGTACTTTCATGTGCGTTAGATGTACTTATATTGAAGACTCAGACAAAATGAACCTTTGAGATTTGTTCCTGTGGTGTTGATAGTGTTGTTTTGCTGGCAGGAGAGAAGGACAGCCTGAGTGACAGATTTTTTAAAAAATACAATCAACTGCTGATAACCTTGTATCTTTAGGATATATCTGAGACTGGCTGAGCTAGGCCATTATAAATGCATTATCCCCCCCCCCCTTTTGGGCTAAACCCTGTAAATTTAAAGTTACAAAGCTGGGAGACAATTTACTGATTTACTGCTGACAACATGAGCTGGTTGTGTCTAATTCTTGGAAAAGCTGATGAAAACATGTTATGAAATCTGCTCATTCAGATCCTTGACATTTACAATTCATTGAGATTCCCCACACCCACCCTCAGCTCGCGCTTATGGGTACTGACTGGTTTATTTATGTATGTAAGAGTTGTGCGTGGGAAATTTAAGAAGATGCATGTGTTTTCAGACATACCCAGTCTTCTTAGAGGTATATCAGGGTCATGTTTTTTCTTCATCTTTATTTCATACTTGTGTCTTAAAGACATAGGAGGGAAAATATTGTTGAAAATTGAGAGAGCAGTTTTGGAATCCTAAGAAGTTGATTAGGCTTGTAAGGGAGAGAAGATGTACTCTCGGTTCTGTCAGGTTTTGCAACTGATCCATAGTCAATAACACTTTCCTCAAGCTGGGATTCTTCTTGTATAGATTGGTTATACAGTATTCACTCTGGCATAGAAGCATCTTTTTTGGGTTCAAATTTTGTCATGGGGACCTGTAAAGGGGGGGGGAAGGTGCAGAGAGTTTTAGGTTCTAGGAGGGTATAACTACTGTGGCAAAGGAAGTGACAATACTATCCCTTCCTTTCTGATGGTCACCAAGTGTTCCTTCCAGGAATGAAGATGGCTTGGGCAGCTTTCAGTTGCATGGGAAATGTAGTTTGTATCACAGGGCATAACATTACTTCACCAAATATCTTATTGACTGGGGTGTGAAGCAAGACCTTTTCTGTAGTGGCACCCTGGTGATGGAATTCCTTTTCTCAAGGGGCCCAATTGACTCCTTTGCTATTTGGACAGGCTGTTAAGACATTCACCCCCCCAAAAAAATGTTTCTGTCCTATTTTGCAAAGTATTGTTTTTGCTCTCACTTTATTTTCTGTTCGAGCGTACATTACCAATTGTTTCAGTTTATGCAGTGAGCCACAGAAAAAGGTTGGATAAAAATATTGTGAAATCAATAAAATAGGGGATGAATATTCCCCAGATACCTGCTCCCCCACCCTCTTCTGCTGCATGGCAGGGTGGGTGGGAGCAATGAGCACCTATCAAATCCTGACTAGGGAGAAGGCTTGGATCTCCCTTAACAGCAATTCCGTTTTGGAGATCTATGGCTTTTATTGAGTACACCAGACTTTTTCAACCTGATGCCCTTCTGATATTTGGAACTGCAGTTCCCAACAGAAACTGTTGGGACTAGGTGGACCTGCTGGGAGCTGTAGTGCAGAACATTTGGCAAGCCTTAGGCTGGCAAAGGCCAGGCTACAACAACCTCCTTTCAGGGACAACTGAAGGTGGCGTCAAAAGGGGGGGGGTACTTGTTTAGCATATTCACTAATATTTAAAAATAATAATCAATGAATGAGCAAGTGCTGGAAAAGCTTGCTTGAACTGTTTAGTAGAAACATGACACTGCATTCTGTCTTGGATTGATTTAAAAAATATATAATTTTTTGGCTTCTGACATTTCCCCCCCCCCTGGGTGGTGCACTGCATTTCTGTGGACACATGACCCCAAAGTCTCCAAAGCCTTTGAGTGAATTTGCCTCCTGCTGACCGTGGTCTTAGCAACCCGACTGCCCCTCCGCTGCAGGCTATCCGCAACAACTTGTTTCTTGACAGGATGCCCTGCTAAAATGACCTACTTTTTGCACCCTGCCACCTGTTTTCTGCACTCGCATGCTGCTCATTCTGGTATGTGTGCATAATTGCAATCCGGTCCTTTTAAATGCTGTTTTATGCTTAGCAAGTGCAGTGACTGAAATCTTCTGTTCATGGAATGGCTGCATTCCGGGCAGAGCAATAGAGAGGGAAGGGCAATAGCTCAGTGGCAGAGCGTCAGTGTTGCATGCAGGAGGTCCCAGGTTCAATCCTCAGCTTCTCCAGGTAGGGTGGGAGAAAACCTGACCTGGAAATCATGGAGAGCTGCTGCCAGTCAGTGTAGACAATACGGTGCCAAATGGATCAATGGTCTGAACTCTGTATAAGGCAGCTTCCTCTGTTCCTATTTCAGCTCTTTTGTATTAGAGTATCCTGTATCTCCCCACCCTTCTTTTTTGCAATTTGCCTGTTGATACTATAATAACAGATACTTTAGTGCTTATTACTATAGTAACAAATGCTATCCAGCTTGTAGTCTGTAAGGGCAGAGCAATAGAAAGTTCCTGCTGCATACTCCTGGTAAGTACTCCTGAAGTATCATTTTAACAGACAATTTTATATGCCACCCTACAGTACCATGACTCCCAGAGCAGCATATAATTTTAAAAACGGAGACGTTAAAATCATAAAAACAAGACACCAGAAGAGTCACGGAAGCAAAACCACTAAAACCCAGCATGTCTAAAACCAGCTATAAAGCACATTTGAATGTCTGGTCACATTTCTTTGCCTGGTGCTCTGAAAGGACATATTTGAGGTGCTGGGACTGGAAAGGCCCTCATTTCTCATGGTCACCACTTGCCTCATTTTGGAGGGTGGAGGGACGTGGCGGAGGCTTTGAATTTACTGAGTTTATTTAAACCCCTTTTACCCTGCTCCTTCAGTCAAAAGGTTTCCCACAGGGACTTAAATAAGATCAATACATGGCATGTTTGTATTTGTGTGTGTGTGTGTGTGTGTGTGTGTTGGAATTCCTGTCTTCAGGTTTATAATCTATATGGTCCAATGCAAAAGGCGGGGGAAGGAATGAGGTGAGAAGAGGAAAACAAGCCAATTTGGGTATTAGGTCTTAAAGTCACATAGAACGTCTATCAGGGATGGGGAACGTTTTTCAGCCAGAGGACACCTTCCAAAGGCTACACACAAGTAGTGGGCAGTGACAGAGGTGCCAGGAGGGTGGAAGATGTGACTTTTTACCTTCGTTCTGTAGGCTACAGCCTCTTGTGGGAGAATTCTGTCTGTTTTGTGTTGCTGGCATTTGACACTGGCGTTCTCGAAA